TGATATTTTTCATAGATTTTAATTGTGTATTAATATAATAATATAAATGATAAGAAATTTTATAAAAATATAACTTTGATAAATGGTTCTATCTACTTTATATATTTTGTGGAGTTAATCAATCTGGTGGCAAATGAGAAGAATGACATTAATTTGCATAAGAAGTTATCCATTGTTTTTTTTTTTTTTTTTGAAAGGATTCGTACAGAAAAAAAAAACTCGTGGCGAGTTATGAAAATGAATCTTTTATATAAACGTGCCGCAGATAATACGATATGATGCCTTTGGCATAATGGCACACAAAACAAAAATCGGTATTTTTAATCGAATATTAATAATAGATAATCGTTATAAATTGCGTGTAATATTTGCGTTACGTTTTAATCGCGAAAGATTATATGGGAACGGAGTGAGTGCCTGAGATAATAAAATGGAAGATTTAACAAAAACATTTCAATTAAATCAACGAGAAATGGTGAGAGAAGAAGAAGAAGAAGAAAAAAGAAGGATAGAAAGAAAGAAAGAAAGAAAGGAAGAAAGTCGAATGAGTTAGAAATACGAAATCATTGATAAAAAATGAAACACCTAACGAGAGATCCCTTTTTATTTTAAGTTTTATCAAAAGATATATATGATATTAGGAATACGTTTTGAATATAATTTAAATGAGAATTGTCAAAAGAAAAAAGTAATTATTAATTAAGAGACAAATTAAAAAGAAATCCAATAATTTAAGTTTCAATTTAATCATACGAGAAAGATCATTTTTGTTTTATAAATATTAAACTAAATATATTAGAACATAAAATCAATTGTCAATTGAATAATTTCGTTATAAAAATCAATGATTTCACATTCACATTATTTCACGTTTTTTCTCTCTAAATTAAAACTATTTATTGATAACAGAATAGAAAAAAACTAAAATAAAAAAGAAACGTCGACTTTACGATATCGGATAAATGATGGAAAGAGAAGAAACGTCGTGATCAAGATTCGTTTATCTTTTTCTCCAAGAACGAGAGAGATTTTTTAAAACGAGGGAATAAAAAAAGCTTTCGTATGTGTGTGTATGTGTGTGTATGTGTATTTCTTTTTTTCCTCTTCTTTTTCGTTTTTTTTATTTTCGAACGGGTAAAAAAGAGAGAGAAAGAGAAAGAACGAAAGAAAGAAAGAGAGAGAAGGAATAGAAAAAGAATGGCGTCTCCTCTATTCTGATTTATTTTCCGTGACACGATCGAACGAGCTCTTTAACTCTTTCCCTTTACCTCTTCCATCTTCTGAGATTGCTTTGTGTATGTGTGTAAACCAT